TAGTCATCAGACACAGATTAATAAATAATTCTATGATGACACATATAAACCCATTGTATGTTGCATTGAGAGTCATATGTACATTTGACAAGCCATTTAGTGAGTATTTTTTAGTTATCAGTTCAGCTTTGATTCAGCACCTTTGTTGTGCCTAGTGTGCACCTTAAACTCGCGTACCATATATTCTCTTACATATATTGGGTTGTAACAGTAAGTGTGAAAGTTATGACAATATATAAAAGAAAAGAACATAGAATTGAAAAGAAAGTTATGAAATATATCTGAATAAAAAGAACAAAAGTTATTTATGATATTTAATGATGACTTACATGATTTTTGATAAAATCATAAGATGATGTTTTTAGGTTTTCAGAAGAAAATTGGACTGACTAGCCCGGTTTGAAGTTTTAATTGTTTTTTATTTAAATTTTTGGTTTATTGTTTATATTTTATGGATTTTATGTTTAAGCTATACTTCTGCCTCACTAAGTTTTACATAGCGCGTGATGATTTTCATGCGTATGTTCGAATAGAGTAGAGGGCGTGAAGAGAGGAGCTTGCGAGCTTCTTCTAGAAATCAAACCTACCGACAATATCAGTAAGACATCCTTACTTTGACATATTAGTAGCATGTACACTATATATTTGGATTGCTTTATCATATTTATTTTAAAAGGGTTTGTAATAGTAATTAGGGATTATTTTCTTTTGTTTTGTTTAATTTTAGTATTAATTGTATTTATAAGTGAATAGTATAAATGTTATATTTTAAATGGTTTAAAATCAAGCGTTATTAGGTAGTTATATTTGGATATGAAACAACACTAAACTGCCTAATTATTGACTGAAATCATATTAGTTTCAATGATCAAATTGTAACACCCCTGACCCGTACCCGACCTGGATATAAATCTGAGGTGTTACATTTGACTTTTCAAAACATATGCAATTCACAAATAGGAACAAAATTAAAACTTTTAACTAAAATAAAAAGATATAAACCTTTTTAATAAAATAATCACTTCACATACATATTTACATAAAATCTTAATAATTTACATAAATACCCAAAATATAAGAGTTTGCAAATTCGATCAGAGTATTTCAAATTAAAAGTATAATACATGCCAACCGTTTACCAAAATAACATAAAAACCTACATTTAACTTGTCATGATCTGATCTTCAAGTGATATGTTATCCTCGATAACTCAGTCTTCTGCTTTCTTCAAACCTACGCGTGAGAAATCATACGCTTAGTCGATGACTTAGTGAGGAAAATACAAAGAGTGCTAATCTTAATAATCAAAATATTTTATAAAGAATTCCAACGTATTCCCCACATTCCAAAGATAAACTTATGTATGTATTTCACTTTATTTAATTTGGTTTCAATTGCCCAATGTATACTACTGAGAACTCCAGGTATTTAAGTACTATGAGGTTGTGTATTAATGTTGTCAACACAGCTCGTAATTTTGCACCGAAGTACCACATATTTACCCCAAAGGACCACATAAAACCCTCAACTCTTGGCATGCCAACTATACCTCTAATTCGCGTACATATACTTTGGGCTATTAATCACATAATTATGCTCAATCATTATTCAAAGTGTTTCTTATTCACATAGTTTCTCTCTCATAGAGGTTGTTCACATTCACTTGTTCAAAGTTCACATTTCCATAATCGTATGATCATAAAACATAGCTTGTATAATATAACTTGAATAAAACATTGAAATATAACATAAAATAAATTATAACATTTTCGATCGAAAACACTAAGGTTGGTTTATCGCAAGCCTTCCTCAATTCTGTTGCAAAACTGAGAAGTTGCACTCACCTTTGCCTAACGGAAGTTCTAATCCAAATCCTTAACACCTTTCGAATCGATACTTAATATGTAAAATTGTCGAAAGTTGATTACGATCAATCACTACACAAAACAATCGAAAATCAATATTGTTCTTCAAATCGTTTATAACCAATTAGAATAACTTGTGATGCATGGAACTATTACTTTCCATTTTATGCCTAGAAGTATCGGTACTACCCACCAGTACCGATACTTCCCTTCAAGGGTATCGATACCTCCTCAAGGTACTGATACCGAATTAGCATTCTGTAATCGCTTATTAAAAATGGTATCGATATCATCCCCCTGGTATCGATACTATCCTTTCAGTATCGATATCCTCCTCAACTGATATCGATACTTCTCTCTCAGTATCGATACCCTCCTCAACGGGTATCGATACTACCCTTAAGAAATACACATATTTAACCCTTGAAATATCGGTACTGTTCTAACGGTCCCGATACTCGAAGCCCAGAATGACCATTTTCACTTCGAAAATCAACCCAAACACTTCCTAAATCTCTTATATTATATTCGTCACCCTTAAGCCTTAAAACTCACCCTTATATATCCACAGTAATTTGACTTCCTTTATTACTCCTAATTATTCAAAATCTCGTTTGAACACTTAGATTTAAAAATCATACCAAAATTCCAAACAAACTCTTAAATATTTCTAATACTCCTAAACCTTTAATTAGGTCATTGACAAGTCAAATATCTCAACAAAACTTCAAAAACTACTTCATATCAAAATTTCATTTCAAAACCCATTTTATAAATTCATCTCTAATATACTCATCTTGATGTTTTAATACTGTATAAGCTTTCTTTAAGCTTATACAACACCCCATGTAACACCCCCAACCCGTATCCGACCCGGATACGAGTCCGAAGTGTCACATTGACTTTTCAAACATTTATTCGTATAAAATAGTGAGTAATTTAAAAACTTTGATAACATTTAACTTATTCAAAACGTTTACAAAATATATCAGAGTTCATACAATTTATATCTTTAGACTACATGCCAACTACACTCTATAACCAGTACATATATTTTCTGATCTGACATTTGGTAAGGAGAACTGACCTGTCTTGCTCCGCATTACTCTTTACTCTTCTCGAAACCTACGTGTGAAACAATCACACGCTAAGTCGAAGACTTAGTGAGGCATAACAACTTATAATGCAATTCATAACGTATATCAATACATGCATGTTTTGTTCTATCATGTTATACCAATTACATGCTTTCTTCGTATCATATAAAATCATATAAGATTAATTACAGTAAATACATACATACACATAATTCATCATTAACAGTTTATCATGTAATCACATACTTTTATGCTTAACCTTTTCAATCAAACACTATACACACACAACATCATATCATTTCTATAACATTTATCATACCACTAACATATATTTGTTCATATCTCTAGATTAGCCCATGTACATATGTGAGAACTATAGGTATGTGAGTATTGTGAGGTTGTGCACTATGCTGTCACCACAGCTCGTATAATTGCACCGAAGTGCCACGTAGAATTGCACCGTAGTGCCATATAATAATGTCCATAAGGACCACATATCATTCCTTAAGAATCATATACATATACTAGGGATCAAGTATGTGTCTTACAAGACTTCACACATGTTCCACAGAATATATATATATCTAAAAGGACCGCGTAGAATTGTACCGTAGTGCCATATAATAATGTCCATAAGGACCACATATCATTCCTTAAGAATCATATACATATACTAAGGACCAAGTATGTGCCTCAAAGACCTCATAAATGTTCCAAAGAATATACATATGTCTCGAAGGACCGCGTAGACCCTCGACTCTTGGCATGCCAACTATACCCCTAGCTCTCATGACACATAACATGGGCATTATCATTTATTTCATTTCAAATATTCACATAAACATGTAATTCACTTTCACATATCACGTATCACATAGCTTCTTTTCATATTATCACATAGTCACATAGTTCACTTACACGTAGATCATTTCCATATAATTCACATGTCACATATATCATGTTCTTGTATTCATATAACATATAATCACATAGATTACTTTCATATCACATAATTCATAATTATGATTTTATATATTTACCTAATTACAAAGCTAATTCACATATACATGTTTTCATATAATTTCTATCATTTCTCACCCAATCACATTTATTCATGTAAACATACTTATCATATCTTTTTCACATATGATCATATACTTCATATAACATATAGAAACACCTAGAACACTTTCACGTAGCTTATATCAATTTTCAGAGTCCTTTCATATTACCTGATGACATATATCATATAGATATATAATAACTGATATCATATTATCTACCTTATGCTCCATTTCTTTGTATTCCCTTTTTCATATCAGCATACATTTAAATATTCTTATATGTCCTATCAATATCCTATAAACTTACTCATATTCTCATATATCATATTTTAATATAATTTGTATAGTAATACTCTATAATTGTATCATATAATGATTTTACCCAAGTACTCCTTTATAAAGTTTATATTGCATGTTCAATTAATCTCATGCTATCTTATAAATAATTTCCATTTATTTTATATCATTTTCCTTTTCCACTCACATAAACCATCTATTTATTTAGTTCAATTTCTCACGACTTCCACAATACTCTTTAATAAAACTTTGTAGCTCTTCACTATAATACATAAACCATAGTTTCCTTTAATTTATCAATCTTCCCTATATTACTTATGTATCCTTATTTATGCCCTCGAATTCATACTATTCTCTTAGAGTCTCCTAACATTTCTCGTATAATCACTTATACCATATCATATAACTTATACTTGATTATCTTATTCTCTCATGTTCATTTCATTTCTTATGACTCTATCATATAACTTATTTCATGTTCTTCCATTATTACATATTAAAGTCTTACATACATCATATAACCTATACAAAGCATATCATTATCTTTAGTCATGCATACATACAATCAATGTAATACAGATAATCACATATAATTATAACCACACATAATCATGTTCATGACTTCATGCATATTACTCTAGGAAATAGACTCATCGCAAGTCTTATTTCCATTAAACACTACATATCACTAGTATGCACTCACCTGGCCTCACTAGTCCATTCCAATCTCTTATCTTCCCTTTTTATCGATCTTACTTGTCAATGATTCTGGAACTCATTTAGGCTCGATATCTACATAGTAATTCATTGATACTTATCAGTATACTAATTAGTATATTCTAAACTATCATTTCTTAGGCTAAAAGAAAAGCCATTTTCATCTTTTAATTGAGGCATGCATCGATGCACTCCTGATGCATCGATGCACTGAGGGCATTCGATGTTCATTTTATTAGAAATGCATCGATGCACTCCTTATGCATCGATGCACTGACGACATTCGATGTTTGTATTTAAATTAATGCATCGATGCACTTCATATGCATCGATGCACCTTCAACAAATTTCTGGGATTTATCATTGATGCATCGGTGCATAATGAATGTGCATCGATGCACATTACCCAGAAATGTCATTTAAGCACGAAAATCTCTTCTTACTCTACTTGACACTTTATATTTCCCCTCTTTTAATATCCCTAACTTGCATACTCTTACTTAAACTAATTATTATCCATTAAATACTTCTAAAACTTAGAAATCTAATTCTCCATGTAGAATTTAAGAATCTAACCCAAATTCCAACATGTTCTAATTTGAATTCTAACACCTCATACTTCTTAGTTAGCTTAATGACAAGTCAAATTTCACTTCTAATTCTGATTAAGAACCCTATTCCAAAATTTCACTTTTATACTTCCTTTATTTAATTCTTCATACACTCATCATCTTATGGTTTTAAGATAATCTAAGCTTTCCTTAAGCTTAGTTATCAACTAAAGATCAATAAGAAACCTTAAATTCATCAAGAATTTGATCACAAGAAAACTCACCTTTGCTTGGCTTCACACGTGAAGAAGAAGAAAGAAATAAGAGAACTCTGGAAACCTCTAAACTTTCTTTTCCTTCATTCCACGTGTATCTATATATACCATATATTATTATTATATTTTTCTTTTCCTTGCAAATGACCATATTATGCTTTCATTCCTCATTCTTTTCAATTTGATCTTACACCTCATTTCTCATATAAGTCTTTAAACCACTCAATTATTTTAATTTAAATTACCAAATTTTGAAACCTTACGATTTAGTCACTAACCCGGTATTGAGGATGTTACAAATCTCTCCTCCTTATAAGAAAATTCGTCCTCGAATTTTCACTGCACATCTTAATAGGAACATATCTTCTAATGTTCTTATGTTGCTTCCCTGACTTATTCTTTCTTGTCATCATCAGAAACTTACTTTTCAATCCTTTAGTTTTCCAACTATCTTTTTTGTTTATACATTCATCTTCTGTTGCTTATCATATAAACAATAACCAGTAATACCAATCCATTGTTGTCTTTTCTCTCATTCGATTATGCATCTTTCCTTTAACCTTTCTAAAATTCAATATAATGTCACTCATCACGTTGACAGTAACATCCATCTCTATATCATAAATCCATCTATTTCTTCATAACTCTCTAATTACCTTATAACCATACCAAACTTGTATTTCGTCATCATTTGACCAAAACACAACTTTAAATCTTCTTCAATGTGATTAAACATATACTTTAAGGAGTCAAACAATATTTTCACATCACCTTGCACACTTGTCTTATTTCTATATCAAAATTGTCCTCTGTACTTCCATATTTATCGTATCTGATCCTTTAAATCAATCCCTTTCATTTCTTTATTCCTTATTCCTTATACATAAATCATATATTTCCTTTCATGTTCACATACTCTTGTCTTATCACTTATACTCAACTTTATGTACCAATCTTCATTGCATCCTCATTACTCTGATAACCCATTTCTTATACATAACTTCATTCTTTATCATTTCTTATACTTGTATTTTCCTTCCTGAAGGTTCCATGTAAATACTTATCTCTGTTTCTACATCATAGCTATCTTCTCAGAATATACAACTATATTCAAATTCATATCATAATCAATTAACTCCACTTTATCTTTCCTCCAATCTTATAACTCTAGCACCTTTACTCTGACAGCTAGATAATAACTTTTGTTCAATCTAGGGCACAAGCCCTATTATACCAATCATATACATCCTTTCCAATCTAAATTATCTCAAAATTCGCTTACTCAACTTATCAATTTCACCTCTATTCTCATACATCCTGAAATTTCTTTTGCTCAAACTCAACATTCTGACTTCCTGTATCCTATAATATGATCATCAATATACACATTCTCAAACTCTTCTTATCAATCCTCAGCTTTACTTAAATATACAAATTCTTACTTCCTTTTCCTTTACTATACCACATTACTATGATCCAAATATGCAACTATATCCAGATCCATTGCAGATATGGTTATCATATCCTGACAATATCTTATAATCTTATAATTCCAGTACATTTTTATCACATACTCTAGTTAGCCAATGCTAACTCTTTCTATCTTAACTGCAAACCCTTATCATAAACATACTCTTATTTATGCGCAATACTATCACTTCGTTTCAAACTCATAAGCTCTGACTTTATACATCTTATACACTTGTCACTGATGCACTTATCCTTGAGTTCTTCTATACGTACTCATCACGTCATTAGATCTTTTTAACATTCTTATGGTGACACCTGTTCACCATATTCTATCTTATCCACATAATAACAAAACTACTCTATATCGTGTTTCCGATTCCAAACGATGAAAACTTTCTATCATTATTCAGATATGATTTCAACTTTCTGAAATCAACTTTTGATCTTACTATGCATTTCCTGAGGTGTCCGCTCTTCATCCTGCCTGGCCAGGGCAGGTGAATAGCTATCACAATCAGGAATATCACCTTTCACTTACTTCGAAATTATCACGATCAGATTTCTACTGTATTAAATTATTCTTATTCTATTAGCAAGACAACATATTCCTTACACTATCAGATCAGAAATTTTTTTCAATCAATGTTGGCATGTACACCTTTTATGACATTTTGGACTTCGGTTTATGTCGAGAATCAGCTAAACCATAGCTCTGATACCATTAAATGTAACACCCCCAACCCGTATCCGACCCGGATACGAGTCCGAAGTGTCACATTGACTTTTCAAACATTTATTCGTATAAAATAGTGAGTAATTTAAAAACTTTGATAACATTTAACTTATTCAAAACATTTACAAAATATATCAGAGTTCATACAATTTATATCTTTAGACTACATGCCAACTACACTCTATAACCAGTACATATATTTTCTGATCTGACATTTGGTAAGGAGAACTGACCTGTCTTGCTCCGCATTACTCTTTACTCTTCTCGAAACCTACGTGTGAAACAATCACACGCTAAGTCGAAGACTTAGTGAGGCATAACAACTTATAATGCAATTCATAACGTATATCAATACATGCATGTTTTGTTCTATCATGTTATACCAATTACATGCTTTCTTCGTATCATATAAAATCATATAAGATTAATTACAGTAAATACATACATACACATAATTCATCATTAACAGTTTATCATGTAATCACATACTTTTATGCTTAACCTTTTCAATCAAACACTATACACACACAACATAATATCATTTCTATAACATTTATCATACCACTAACATATATTTGTTCATATCTCTGGATTAGCCCATGTACATATGTGAGAACTATAGGTATGTGAGTATTGTGAGGTTGTGCACTATGTTGTCACCACAGCTTGTATAATTGCACCGAAGTGCCACGTAGAATTGCACCGTAGTGCCATATAATAATGTCCATAAGGACCACATATCATTCCTTAAGAATCATATACATATACTAGGGATCAAGTATATGTCTTACAAGACTTCACACATGTTCCACAGAATATATATATATCCCGAAGGACCGCGTAGAATTGCACCGTAGTGCCATATAATAATATCCATAAGGACCACATATCATTCCTTAAGAATCATATACATATACTAAGGACCAAGTATGTGCCTCAAAGACCTCATAAATGTTCCAAAGAATATACATATGTCCCGAAGGACCGCGTAGACCCTCGACTCTTGGCATGCCAACTATACCCCTAGCTCTCATGACACATAACATGGGCATTATCATTTATTTCATTTCAAATATTCACATAAACATGTAATTCACTTTCACATATCACGTATCACATAGCTTCTTTTCATATTATCACATAGTCACATAGTTCACCTACACGTAGATCATTTCCATATAATTCACATATCACATATATCATGTTCTTGTATTCATATAACATATAATCACATAGATTACTTTCACATCACATAATTCATAGTTATGATTTCATATATTTACCTAATTACAAAGCTAATTCACATATACATGTTTTCATATAATTTCTATCATTTCTCACCCAATCACATTTATTCATGTAAACATACTTATCATATCTTGTTCACATATGATCATATACTTCATATAACATATAGAAACACCTAGAACACTTTCACGTAGCTTATATCAATTTTCAGAGTCCTTTCATATTACCTGATGACATATATCATATAGATATATAATAACTGATATCATATTATCTACCTTATGCTCCATTTCTTTGTATTCCCTTTTTTATATCAGCATACATTTAAATATTCTTATATGTCCTATCAATATCCTATAAACTTACTCATATTCTCATATATCATATTTTAATATAATTTGTATAGTAATACTCTATAATTGTATCATATAATGATTTTACCCAAGTACTCCTTTATAAAGTTTATATTACATATTCAATTAATCTCATGCTATCTTATAAATAATTTCCATTTATTTTATATCATTTTCCTTTTCCACTCACATAAACCATCTATTTATTTAGTTCAATTTCTCATGACTTCCACAATACTCTTTAATAAAACTTTGTAGCTCTTCACTATAATACATAAACCATAGTTTCCTTTAATTTATCAATCTTCCCTATATTACTTATGTATCCTTATTTATGCCCTCGAATTCATACTATTCTCTTAGAGTCTCCTAACATTTCTCGTATAATCACTTATACCATATCATATAACTTATACTTGATTATCTTATTATCTCATGTTCATTTCATTTCTTATGACTCTATCATATAACTTATTTTATGTTCTTCCATTATTACATATTAAAGTCTTACATACATCATATAGCCTATACAAAGCATATCATTATCTTTAGTCATGCATACATACAATCAATGTAATACAGATAATCACATATAATTATAACCACACATAATCATGTCCATGACTTCATGCATATTACTCTAGGAAATAGACTCATCGCAAGTCTTATTTCCATTAAACACTACATATCACTAGTATGCACTCACCTGGCCTCACTAGTCCATTCCAATCTCTTATCTTCCCTTTTTATCGATCTTACTTGACAATGATTCCGGAACTCGTTTAGGCTCGATATCTACATAGTAATTCATTAATACTTATCATTATACTAATTAGTATATTCTAAACTATCATTTCTTAGGCTAAAAGAAAAGCCATTTTCATCTTTTAATGGAGGCATGCATCGATGCACTCCTGATGCATCGATGCACTGAGGGCATTCGATGTTCATTTTATTAGAAATGCATCGATGCACTCCTTATGCATCGATGCACTGACGACATTCAATGTTTGTATTTAAATTAATGCATCGATGCACTTCATATGCATCGATGCACCTTCAACAAATTTCTGGGATTTATCATTGATGCATCGGTGCATAATGAATGTGCATCGATGCACATTACCCAGAAATGTCATTTAAGCACGAAAATCTCTTCTTACTCTACTTGACACTTTATATTTCCCCTCTTTTAATATCCCTAACTTGCATACTCTTACTTAAACTAATTATTATCCATTAAATACTTCTAAAACTTAGAAATCTAATTCTCCATGTAGAATTTAAGAATCTAACCCAAATTCCAACATGTTCTAATTTGAATTCTAACACCTCATACTTCTTAGTTAGCTTAATGACAAGTCAAATTTCACTTCTAATTCTGATTAAGAACCCTATTCCAAAATTTCACTTTTCTACTTCCTTTATTTAATTCTTCATACACTCCTCATCTTATGGTTTTAAGATTATCTAAGCTTTCCTTAAGCTTAGTTATCAACTAAAGATCAATAAGAAACCTTAAATTCATCAAGAATTTGATCACAAGAAAACTCACCTTTGCTTGGCTTCACACGTGAAGAAGAAGAAAGAAATAAGAGAACTCTGGAAACCTCTAAACTTTCTTTTCCTTCCTTCCACGTGTATCTATATATACCATATATTATTATTATATTTTTCTTTTCCTTGCAAATGACCATATTATCCTTTCATTCCTCATTCTTTTCAATTTGATCTTACACCTCATTTCTCATATAAGTCTTTAAACCACTCAATTATTTTAATTTAAATTACCAAATTTTGAAACCTTACGATTTAGTCACTAACCCGGTATTGAGGATGTTACACCCCAACTTCCATAATCAAACCAAAAATTAAAGGAAAACTATAACTTTCAAAATCTTAACTTTTTGTGGAGAGGTGCATGGCAATAAGAAGAAGGAAAGAAATAAGGAAAATCTTGTAGAACCTCCACTCCACGTGTTTAACCCCTAAATATAGGAGATAATTATCCCTTATCATGCAAAGACCATATTGCCCTCTCTATAACTCCACAATTGCTATCAAGCCCTACACATAAATCCTTAATTTTTCAAATTATTCTAATTTAACCGTTGAGTTTATAATTCTTACATTTTGGTCACTGACCCGCTAATTAGGATGTTACAAATCTCCCTCTTAAGAAAATTTGTCCTTGAATTTTCATTGAATAAAAAGGTGGGGATATTGCTTCCTCATATCTTTGTCACACTCCCACATAGCTTGTTCTACTTTATGGTTCCTCCAAAGAACATTAACTAGTGGAATCGTCTTATTCCTCAACCTTTAAGCCCAAAGCGAAGTACTTTCTTCCAAGGTGATACTTTCAAAAACACTTTATCACCTACTTGAAATCCAATTTCTTTCCTTTTCAAATCAGCGTCTGACTTTTGTCTGTCTGAGGTCGCTTTCAAAATGTGTTGAATCAATTGGACCTTTTCTACTACTTCTTTAATCAAATCTGGATCATGAACTTCCTGATCCCTTAATTCATATCAATTAAGTGGCGTTCTACACTTTCTTCCATATAATGCTTCATACGGTGCCATTTTGATGCTGGATTAGTAAATGTTATTATAAGCAAATTCAACAAGCGGTAAATACCTTTCCCATGATCCAAAAAATCAATCACACAACCTCTCAACATATCTTCCAGAATCTGAATTATTTGCTCTGATTGACCATCAGTCTGAGGATGAAAACCAATACTAAAATTTAATCGGGTACCCAAAGCTCCTTGCAAAGACTTCCAAAATCTCGAAGTGAATCTGGGATCTCTATTGGAAACTATTGAGATTCAAACACCATGCAGTCACACTATCTCCTTGGTATACAATTCAACATATTTATCCATAGAGAAATCCGTTTGCATAGGAATGAAATGTGCAGTTTTGTAAGGCGATCCACAATTACCCAAATCGAATCTTTTTTACCCAGCAATAAGGGCAAACCTGTTACGAAATCCATCGTAATGTTTTCCCATATCCACTGAGGAATCGAGATGGGTTGCAACAATCCTGAAGGCACCTGATGTTCAGCTTTTACTTGTTGACAAATTAGGCACTTCGGTACAAATTCCGTAATATCTCTCTTCATGCCTGGCCACCAAAAATGCTCTTTCAAATCTTGATACATCTTGTTTTATCCTAGGTGCATTGTTAAAGGACTATAATGAGCTTCATACAATATATCTCTTTTCAACTCAATAATATTGGGAACACAAACTCCCATTCGACTTAACCTCGAAGTCCTTGAGTCTACATTTCTCTCATTGTTCAAATCAAGTTAAACACTTATCATCTTTCTTTTGTAATTCCTTAATCCGCTCTAACAATAATGGCTTCAACATCAACTCATCCATCAATGCACCATTTTCCTTTAGCACAATTCGAGCATCCAAACTACACAAAGAGGTAAAAGTCTTCCGACTAAGAGCGTCTGCTACTACGTTAGCTTTCTCGGGATAGTAATCAATGATTGCATCATAATCTTTCAGTAATTTTATCCATCTTCTTTGCCTCAAATTTAACTCCCTCTGCGTCAACAAATACTTCAAACTTTTATGATCGGTGAAAATGTAGCAATGCTCACCATACAAATAGTGCCGCCAAATTTTCAATGCAAAGACCACAGCTGCTAACTCCAGGTCATGCGTTGGATAATTCTTTTCATGAGGTTTAAGTTGTCTTGAAGCATAAGCAACTACCTTTCCATCTTGCATTAAGACACATCCCAAACCATTATGGGAAGCGTCGTTGAAAATCGTGAAATCCTTATTTGATTCCAGTTGCACCAACACCAGAGCTTTGGTCATAACTTTCTTCAATGTTTCAAAGCTTTTCTGATAATCCCGAGTCCAATCAAAATGCACATCTTTTCTTAACAATTTGGTTAAAGGCAAAGATATCATTAAAAAGTTTTTTAAAAACCTTCGATAATAACCTGTGATACCCAATAAATTTTGAACTTTTGACACATTCTTCGGAATCTCCCATTCTAGCACAGCTCTAACTTTTTGAGGATCTACCCGAATGCCCTCTACAGAAACCACGTGTCCAAGGAATGCCACTTCAGATAACCAAAACTTACACTTAGTGAACTTTACATAAAGCTTCTTGTCTCGCAATGTTTGGAGAAC